TAAATACGGAACAATGCAACCTTTCTGTTGCTCAGGTGCGAATGGAAAAGAGCCCCCTCTCAATTCCAGGTTCCAGCAGTTCCCCACCCCACCCCCCCAGTTCTTGAATCCACAGCATGTGTTTAAAAAATATAATTTTTCTTAATAAGGTTCCATAAAAATACTATTGTTCCTAGTCAAACACAAATATTGCAATATGAAGAGTAACTGCTTTTTTTTGCTCTATAAAACGTGAAAAGGTCTCACACCGATTAATGTAGAAAAAATGCAAGAACTCTAGTATCACAAAAGCCAGTACAAAATGAGCAAGGTGAAAGAATGCCAGTGGCAGGACAGTTCAGGATTCCTTCCCATTTCTACCTAGCTCTTCTTAATAGACTTGTCATCACGGTATCCGAGCGCAGCAGATTCGCTCCCAAATTTAGCCCAGTGCGCTTCGTTGCCTCTGGCCTTCCGTGAGCAGCGGCAATACAGCTCAGCAACAGAGCGCTCATGCCCTCGGGAGGGCGGAGGGCCAACATCCCAATAAATACTCTTACGAGGCTAAAAAACGCTCAACGCTTTAAAACAAACCAACCCATGGATAAGAATTGAAAACTAGGGCATTTTACATAAAATGCATCGTTGTTTTACGTACCCATTAACTGCAACAAATAAGAGGAGCAACGGTGCCAAAAAGCATCTAATAATAAATAGATAAAGATATATACTCCGTATATGGATATGAAATGCCCAATTGGAAAAAACAAACATTTGGTGAGGTCGCCTTTGCCTCTTCCCATCCAGCAGGTGTCACTCTCACCAGATCATGCTCGCTCACCATTTCATTGTGCAACGAAAGATTCCACCTTATTAAACAAGGTGCGATTTAACCAGAGATGGGCTGCCTAATCTCTAGGGAATGCAGAGGGATTAAGAAGTGTCACACCTCTCCTAGCGGAAAGGCGACCTGTGCAAAGGATCCACGCCGCTGCTCATCAGTCGCCTTCAGTTCTCCGAGAGGGAGAGCGCCAACGCAGCCTGCAACGCTGCTTCTTCATCGATATTATAGTCCTGGGAACAAGAAGAGTGAACAGGTCAGAGGGGCTGACGAGGAGTAAGTGCGTCTCTCCCTGCATGAATGAGCTGTCTGCCCGGGTGCTCGTACCTCCTGTGACATTCCCAAGAGAGGGCCAGAATGCCAAGCGGAAAGAATCTTCACATTGACCTTCCTTTCAGACCTGGACACTGTCAAAACAGCCACATGATTACAAGAAACCTCACCTGTGCAATTACCGCCACCTCAGACAGGCCAGGCTGGGAAGAACAGGACCTTAATTTACCTTTCTAAGCTTATTTCTTGCCTGTTAAAAGGACAGTCAAGTTAAACTGATCAGTTCTAGCCTCAGTTTCACTCTCTGGTTTGCCTACACACAGCAGGAAGATGCAGCCAATTGAAAAGGTTTCATTTACAAAGTCAAAAAAGGTTTCTATCAACACCACAATTTTTTTTCCCAATACCCACATTTGGGCACAAGCTACATGACCATGAGGATCCTTTGAAAGATGAGACGTGCAAATATTTCAAAGCTTAGTATCTGTCCTCTGAGGTTAACAGTCACTCTGGAATCTAATCTGCCAAACGATAATGGCAGACACAAACTGGAGTTTATCTACAAGGTCCCTGGAGCAGAACTGCACTGGCAACAGCCTTTGAGGGGCGAGTACCACCCCCACACCTACACAAAGATTAACCATGAGGGAGACCGGCCACAGTTCTCATTTGCACACCGCACCAGAGAAGGACATGGCACACTGTGGACGTTCCGTATTTCTGAACGGTCTCTGGAGCTCAGCTCCCAACGCCGCCGTGCGAGAGCACGTCTGAGCGAGGGGCTGGACTCAGCCAGCCAAATGTTATCCAACGCTCCTTTTGGGCACATGCCCCACAGCTGTTTATACAACACAGGTTTTTGCATCTTGGAGCGCTGCTTCTGGTGAGATGCCAGTCCAGCCTGGCCAGCTTCTCGCGAATGGAGATTTTCCTGAGGCTGGCTGGAACAGTGACTACTCACACAGAATTACCACCAGCTCACTTCTCTCAAGTCCCCAGTACAGACTGGGGAGGGAGCGCATGCTGTGCGCCAAAAGGCAGCGTGGAGCATGCCAAATGCAACCCAACTCCTGCATTAGTGGCTTTACCTCTCTCAAAAACCTTGTTCGTTAAAAATGCATCAAGTTCAGGTGAGATTCAGCCTGCACGTAGAGGCTGGTATGAACTTGACAGCACATTTGGTTGGGACTTTGTAGTCCTAGCAGGTTTTCAGTGACACTTTTCTCGCTCGTTTTCCAGTGTGTTTAAAAGGGACACATGAGCGGATAAAAAACTTACATACTCTTCCTTTCCCAACTCCACTGCCTGGCCTCACTGATCACAACCTGGCGAAGTTCATCGCTCAGACGAAGCGCCTAGGGGCAGGAATCTGTTTCATTGAGTGCATCTCCAGGTCCTAGCTCCGGGGCCTCAGATCCCTCCCTAGGGCCTCAAAGCACTACAGCAATAATATAATAATAAAGCAACATACAGCTGACTCCCACAAGTGCAGGCCACAAGAACAAAGCTCAGCCTTCAGACAGGACCCCTCCCCCAACCCTCCTGTGTGCATGTGTCCTGCTAGGGGAACTTCCTACAGTTCAGCACACAGCCTATTGCAGAGTCTTGCTTCGCCATTCCAACATGCTGTTTTGTCTCAGTATAGATGTGATTCTATCTAAAAGGCAGAAGTTATTTCAAGGCCACTTAGCTGGTTGGGACAGACACCTGCGATACAGAAGAAAACCTTTCCCCTTCCGTTCCCCCACTAAAAGATGCCAGTAACTGATAGCTCAGCATGAAAACTGTGCAAAAATTGCACACAAAAGTGGCGTTCTCATATGGGCCAGCCACATGTGAAGCCAACGCCAGCTGATTAAGGGCTGGAACGTGGTCAGTGGGAACGGCCAGGGCCCTAAGCGACTTGAACTTTGATTTGTGGCAGTACCCACCACAAAGGTGTCATAGGAGAACTTGTGCCTGTGTAGGAGATGCTGCAGGAAGTTGGCGCTCTTGTAGCTGGGGTCCCCCCAGGGCATCGCTGAACAGACTGGGCACACCTAGAACGTACAGGGGAGGAAAGGGAAGTCACAAGACCAGCAATGTGGTGTAGTTCTTGGAACCCTGACTGCCACCCACAGCCCAAATACTAGATTTCCTTTTTAATTTCTATCAGTCAGAGGCAATTTCTGCAAACACCCTCTTCAAGAGAGGCTGTACATCTACACAAGCTGGAGAGCTAGTTACAGAGTATAAAAGAAGAATCAAAATCACTGTCTGTGTAAGGGCCTTCTTTTACTGTGACAGTCTGAGGCCTGGTTCTTAGGCTAAGGCCTTCGGCTAAGCAGCAGAGGCCAGCCATAAACTGGGAAGTGAACGGTCACATCCTCCCATTCCAAACTAGTCACATGGAAATAAGGTGCTATCCAATCCTGTCCTGATATTCCCATCACCTCCAGGGAAAGGGAAGAGCCTAGAAGATATAAAAGGAAACTTAGTTTGATAGCATCCTGTCTGGCAAGAACTCACTTATCAATAACTGGGATGTGAAATCCTCATTTCTGTATTGTTCTATCACTGTAGTCTCCACTTTCCTATTGTTTGTCTGTATAATCTCTGTCTGGTTCTGTGATTGTTTCTGCCTGCTGTATAATTAATTTTGTTGGGTGTAAACTAATTAAGGAGGTGGGATATAATTGTTTAAATAACCATGTTACAGTATGTTAGGATTGGTTAGTAAAATTTCAGTAAAATGATTGGTTAAGGTATAGCTAATCAGAACTCAAGTTTTACTATACAGTTTGCAGTCAATCAGGAAGTAAGGGGGGGGAAAGGGGAACAGGACTGGACGTGGGGGAATTGGGATCATGTTTTGCTAAGGGGGGGGATGGGAACAGGGAATGGGAACAGGGACACAGGCAAGGCTCTGCGGTGTCAGAGCTGGGAAGGGGGACACTGAGGAAGGAAACTGGAATCATGCTTGCTGGAAGTTCACCCCAATAAACATCAAATTGTTTGCACCTTCGGACTTTGGGTATTGTTGCTCTCTGTTCATGCGAGAAGGACCAGGGAAGTGAGACGGTGAAGGAATAAGCCCCCTAACAGGCACATGCAACTGTGGGAATGGTGCGTGAAAGTGACAGAGTGCTGAGAACCCTCGGGGATGCTCTAGTGGACTAAAGAGGTGTTTGCAATCTGGAGATGGTCCCTTTTAGCACTGATGAGTGTTGAGCACAATAGGCTCAGGACCAGAATGGGACACAGGAAATATGATCACTCAAGTGCAGAGGGTTCCCTGCCAAAAAGCTGTGATCCCTCTGTGAGCTTAAAGGCACGCTGCATTTAGGGACACAGAAGAAGCTCCCGCCTCAGAAGCACAAGAGGCCCTTAAAAGTCACAGCCTATTGTAGTGGAAAGTGAGTGGCAAAGCAAAACCATTAGAGTTAGGGAGAGAGCACTGAAATCTAGGCTTAACCCAGTTCTTGCTCTGCAATGCACCTCGAGCAAAGCTAATAGATCCAGCTCCGTGTCTGCCTGTCAAAGAGATTTAACAAAGATTAAATGAGCTAGAAATGCAGATAGTACTTTATGCCCAGAAGCAGATGTGTGCGCCTGTTGACTTTGAACAGGGGATTGATTAAAACACGCAGAGACTTCCAATTCACTGGAGGTTACCCCGCTCCCATTCTCTGCCTAGCCAGAAGTTCACGAGCACAGAACCGGACACGGAAATCAGGGCCGCGGTGCCAAACTCTCGCCAGTCTGCCCGAGGAAAGCTCACCACTTTGTTGGGGTCATTGCGGTGGTTCTCCATGCAGTGCTTGACCAGCTCCTGCTGGTCCAGGTTCCGGGCTCCACAGTAAGGGCAGACAAAAGTGGAACGGTTTGGAATATTGCTAAAAAGAAACAGCAGTCAAGAATTCAACACAACAGAGACCCACAGGGAAGAGGACAGGTGAAAACTGAACGGGCTTCACAGAGACAAGCCAACCCCAGCGGACTCCAAAGTATCTGATACACCATGAGTCACTCCCTCACTACGAGCACCAAACACCACCTTAGACTGAAGGAAAAGATTTTGATCACATGCTGATGCACCTCCAGAAGCTTCAGTGGAATTACTCTATATTTGCATCACGGTCAGTGAGAGCAGAATCAAGTTCAAAGAGTTTTTGAAGTCTACCATATCTATTTTACCAGCCACACAGTTTACTTTCTGCATCTCTCCCAGCTGGCAAAAGAACAGATTAGTCAGTTTCCCTTTTGTTTTCAGGCAGTTTCTAGTCTATTCCCCCAGGTTCTCAGGCAGGAGAGCAATGCTGCACAATGTTAGAGCTGCAAATGGTGCAGGGGAGTCTGATTTGTTTAAGAAAAAGCTTTTCCATTGGATTTTTTTTTAAATCATGTAGACATTTGTGTTGGGTCAGGTTTTGGAAAAGCCTATTTCGAAATCCCTCTACAATTCAAGGCCAGATTTGACCTGACAATTTCTGGTTCATCTTGTGCACTGTTTAAATAGCAGTTTGTTACAGAAAACAAGATGGGAGGATTCCCCTATGAAGTGGTTGAATTTGGTATTTTAATACCTGGGAATGGGCTGGGAAGTTGGGACCACTGGAACGAACTTTGGGCAGTTGGCCATCTGCTCTTGAACCTTAGCGCAGGATGAAACGTGGGATCTCATCTTCGCTAGGGTCACCTAGAAAGACAAATAGAGGGAGAAAAAAGAAATAGATCATTGGACAGCCAGGACAATCTTTGAGAACTCCAAGGAGCAAGGGATGCATTTCTCCAGAAAGAAGAAAACAAGGCAGATGCCCCACTCTCAAGCAAACCAGTACATTCGAGAGAGCAGCCTCCCCAAACGCTTTCTGACAGGCGCCAGAATACAGGAGACCACTAGGATTATTGCACATCAGTCTGCACCAATGTGGAATTGCTGGGCCAAAGCGTGTCTCGTTATAGCCAACTAAAACAATCAACCAACCAGCTCCAGTGAGGAGATGCAGGATTTCGGGGGAATGGGGTGGGCTAGTCTAGCTGATCCCAGAGACTGCTAAGAAAGCCCATTTCCTTTCCATAAGACCAAAGCAAATCATGGCAGAGCTCTTGCCCTTCAAGGCAACCCAACCCTTACAGTCAAGTTCTCAACAAGGAACAGAAATGCCAGGCTCAAAGGTACACAGGGAGTTCTGGAGTTATTCACTTGACAGCAAGTGAGGCGTTGGAGCAGCAGAGGGAAAGGGTCTCAGTCCCCGAGGTGACAGCAGTCCACATCACAAAGCCACCACAACTGAACAACTTTACTGCCAGTCTCAGAGGCACCCAGGTGGCCCCTTCACGGCAGGGCTGAGGCATGATGGCAGGACAATGCCCTAGTTAGACCTACTCTCTGCTGTGTTCTCTCGGGCTGTCAATCCAGCTTCTTTCACCAGCTCTAAAGAGAAGAACATCCCACTCTGTAAGGCTGCTCATAAACTAGAGATGAAACACCAGCTGCACCACTTGGGGTTTGTCCCAAGTCTCTCTGTTGTTTTAATAATGGCACTAGTCTACTGCCAAAGGGTGTTAGGACAAAGATGTTTCATCTGAGCACAGCACCATCTCACAGCAGGCAGCAAAGCCGGTATAGCTCAGATATCTCACAGCCCTTCCTGCAGGGGCCCTCTGGGTTCATAAGCACCAACAGCGCAGGATTTCACCAGGGCCATGTACCTAAGGTCTCAAGTTGAACAGCTCTGCGTGTGAAACTCAGCCAGCCAACGAGGAGATCCCCCGGGTGGAACCACTAGCTGGAGCTTTACCAAGTAGTTTGGGTTCCAGAATTTGATCTGCTTTGTGAGGAGTGTTCTCTGGAGTCTAAACATCTGTGTTAAATTCAGTGGCAAAACACTACGGGAACACAGAGTGAAGGTTGCTTGGGAGTATGTCCCCTTGCAGAACACGGAGTTGAGCAAAACTCAAATTTAGAAAAGCAGGAAATCCACAGTTAAGGAGCCCAAACAATCTTAACTCTGCCGTCTTCCAGCAGTGGCCCAATACACACCGGCCCCATTACTCTGCCAACCCAGTGTTACGGAAATGTACAAGCTCTTCACCTACTTCTACAACCCATTCACTCTCACCCACAGGATTCCATCAACACAGGGGTTCTCAAACTGGGGGTCGGGATCCCTCAGGGGATCGCAAGCTGTCAGCTCCACCGCAAACCCCGCTTTGCCTCCAGCATTTATAGTGGTGTTAAATATATTAAAAAGTGTTTTTAATTTATCGGGGGTGGCACTCAGAGGCTTGCTATGTGAAAGGGGTCATCAGTACAAAAGTTGGAGAACCACCGATCGAACACTGAGCATGTTCATTTTAGGAAGTTCGACCTTTAAACAGAAGTCTTGACACAACCTTAACTACAGCAGCGCAACCTTACCACTAGGATATGCACCGGTGCTGAGGAATTAACGCTCCCACGTCAGGTCTGCACCACTGCTCAGCCAGCAGTAAACTCCCTAACAAGATCTAGGCATGGAGCTGTGCTGATTCCAAATACAGGAGTGGGGGAGATGATCGTTACAGGGAAAGGATGAATTTTAGTAGAAACCTGACGACAGGTGTCTTCTAGAAAGGGTTAAGCAACTGAGGGAGAAAATAAGGGCCCGGGTTCCCTTTTTAAAAGATGCATCCACTTAATAAAATACTGACTTGGCCTGCAAGAGAGCAGCGCTAATACTTCATAAACATTCCCGATTTAAGCCTCAGCACCTCTGATGTAGGAAGCATTATCCCCATCGTCTAGATGGGAAACCGAGGCAGAGTGAGGGTAAGTGACTGACTCAAGGGGACACTGTGACTCTGTAACAGAGCTAGGACCAGAACGCAGCTCTCCTGACTCCCATTCTGGTTTGGAGTACAAGGCCGCCCTTCCTGCTATTTGATCGCCTCCCGACGGGAGCAAAAGTCAGGTTTTCTTATCGTGGTGGGGCACCCCCCTTTATTGTGCTGCCCTGAGGTTCCAAGCCACATGCCTCATAGTGGAGCATCCCACTTGCCTCCCATCCACAATCTTTGGGGATGCAGGAAGTAACCCCTGAAACAGATACTGCGCTCAGACATAAACCAACACTCATCTGGGCATGGACAAAACCTTGACTAGTACAATGGGCCACCCGAGGTGTCACCCATACCTGTCCTGCCCCCACAATACCAGGTATGGGATAGTCACGACTGGACCCGTTCAGATGGATTACCTTCTTACTGCACCCTCTGCAGGGAGCCTTATAGGAGGACAACTGCTTCTCCACATTGGAGGCCTTCTCCACCTTTTTGGGGTCAAAGGGCATGCGGCAGAGCGGGCAAAGAGGAGATGGCACTTGGAGACATGGCTGCAAACATTCCCCGCAAAATCTGGAGGAGAAACAAAACCATTAAGTTGCTCAGAGGAGAACCATTATTTATCACAGCCCAGGGGAGGAGAGGAAAGGACCCCGTGGCATTTTGGTTCCCCCGCACATGCCCTCTGACACACCTACTCATAGGAAGCCCTGCCCACTGCCTCCTTGGGGGTGCAGGAATTGATCCCACACAGATCAACGGAACTGGTTTCTCCTCAGACATTAGGAAGCCGGCAGGAGCTTTTTGGTAGCCACCAAGGATCTAGTAACACCTACGAGACCTTGGGACATGGAAACGGTTCCTCCAAGTAGATCCAGCACATAGGCCCAATAGGCTGAACTACCTCAGTGCACATCAATGCGCTACTAATACGCAGCTATCAGCAACTCCTGGCTCCTGTTTCAAAAGCAACACACTGTGCATCTGAGTTGCAGGCCTCATCCAGCCACCCCACTCCACTTTATGGGGTCATGTGGGGGGCTCATAGGCCAGCTGGAGCAGAGACTTGAGACTTTCACCTACTTGTTCCTCCTGTCCACTACTCTCCTGTTGTAGTTTGTTACCTCCCTCCTGCATAGTCTAGACACTTTCCTTAATTCCCCAAACTAGTCACAGGGCTACTGAACCTACTGGCCAATTTGCCTTCTCCAGCAGCTTCTCCCTACCATCTGAAACCGGATGCTCTATACATGCAGAGACTTCTACGAGTACCTCCAGAGACAGAGCTACCAGTGCACCCAGCCAGGCTGCAGTGGCCAAAGGTCCGAAGGGAAGGATCTGGATTTGTCCAGAACAGATAGCTTGGGGGCAGGGCTTCTAAGCGAGGGACTTACACAGAGCTGAACGTGTCCGTTGCATGCATGACCGCAACAGACCAAACACGCTCAGGTTGTTTCCCCCACAGGAAGGCAGGTTTCCTCCCCAGGAGCCAGCGAGCATGTGTCAGGCTGCAGCCAATGTAGCATCTGCAGGGGCTGACCTGATGTGGTTAAGAAGTTCAGGCTGTGCAAAAAGGTCTGGCTTTGCATTTACCCCGCCCCGTGGCCTCTCACAGAAGGGTATCTTATGCTAGAATGAACGAGGTTTCAGATCACGTGCACAGGCTGGTGCTGAGAGCTAGTGATGCTGTCGGGGACAAAGTCAGCCCCTCTGGATCCTTGGTTCCCAAGCCTGCAGGAATTAGGAGTGAGACAGTCAATGGACTTGGCCCTTGGGGAAGGGGACACCCTTTTACCGTCTGGTCCTTCATTAAGGAAAACATCTCCTGCATTGACACAGTGAGTGAGGTTGGTTTGTTCCAGGCTGTTTCTGCCCACAGCTGACTGACATACTGCAGTGATGGGGGCCAGAGGACGACAGAGGTGTTCAGCTAACCAGACAACAGAGGCATGCAAGTGACATTCTTGCCACACTGCTCCTTTAAACCAACACAGAGTACCTGGACGCTAACAAAGGCCGGAGTTAGGTCTGCTTCTGCTCATGAAACCGTCCATCCAGGAATTCACCTGTGCCCCAGGGTTACACTTGCAAGTCCAAGTGAGGACCTACCAACGTGACTGCCTTGCCACGGCAAGTGCAGGGTTAAATCTCCACACACCAATTTAGAAACATCCAGACTTCAAATGCTGGAGAGAAGTGACCACTCTCTGGGGCTGAGCAGCACCGTGAGAACCTACCGCAGCTGACCTGGGCCAGGCCAAAGGGACGTTGGGAAAACAGCAGTTAGAATGAATGACGGGTGCATCGCCTCGAACGTCAGGCCTGTCTGTAGACGTGTAGTGAGAAGGAGCGTTCGGGGGGTACGTGCCAGAAAGCAGACAGGAGCCTGTTGCCCTTTGCAGACTCCATGCTGCACTACACAGCATCACACAAATAAGATCTAATTGATCTCCATGTGTACCCAGGCACAAAATACGAGCTGGGAAAGAGTGCTCCGCTCTGAACCCCAGACGAAGGGCAGGAAGCATTAGAGCAGTGATCCGGAGACCCACAGCAAGGCAGCAGCACCAGGGAATGTGCTTTCTCTGCAGATGGTCACGCAATGATTTTCAAAAACAAGCCATTTAGGACTTCACGGGAGGGAAGTAATAGGCCAGGACACACTGAGATTAGGCTGGGGATCACCTCCTCTCAAATCACAGAATACCAGGGTTGGAAGGGACATCAGGAGGTCATCTAGTCCCACCCCCTGCTCAAAGCAGGACCAATCCCCAGACAGATTTTTGCCCCAGATCCCTAAATGGCCCCGAAGGATTGAACTCACAACCTCTGGGTTTAGCAGGCCAATGCTCAAACCACTGAGCTATCCCTCCCGCCCAAAGTTCTTATGCCTGCAGAAGCAGGGACCTCAAATCAAGTGCTGGAGAGGAAATTCTGGGAAATAAACTTTTCTACTGGAAACAGACCTCTGGGCTACGGGGGAGTGGGGGAGACAAAAAGGGCAAATGGCAAATCCCTCCTGGTAGCACCCCAGCCTTTCCACTGTGAACAGATCTGGCCGGAGCGGAACAGCTAGCCGGCCGTACCTTTTTATCTTGAGCAAAGGGAAAAGTGTAGACATCTGTAAAGATGAGCTGGGATCCCTGCTGAAAATAAACTGGAAACTATAGTTTGCAGGCCTTGGGAGCTGTGCTCCGGCTCCGCTCCAGCTCCAGGCAAAAACCTGCAGCTCCACTGCTCCGGAGCTGCTCCGCTCCAAAGCCCTGGTAGTTTGAGCCTGGAAAGTTTCCAGACAGCTATATTAAGAACCCCCCCCTCCCTTGCTCATCCAAGACATGCTCAACAGCTCTGAAATAGACAAAGAGAAGCTGCAATGAATCCATAATTCTTTAAGGTCAACATGCAATCGGTTCATTGTCTGCTCCCCAATAACACAGAGTGGAGTTCACCCAACACCGCCTTGCCGCCCATGACTAACTCTTGGAGTGGGGTTGGATGTTTCAGTTTAGACCTAGGTGGGAAATGTTTTTATTGGTCCCATGAATATTTGAGAGATGGAAACTCCCCCCCCCCCCCATCTCAAATTGGGACGAAAAGTCAAAATCTCAAACTTCTGCACTAAAACATGGATTTTTTTCACGTTTCAGATCAATCAGAACGTCTCGTTTCGACTTTACCTTTCTTCTCCACCCTGTCCTACTTTAATTAGCTGAAATTTCAAAACGAAAGGTCATTTTGAACCAGACAACCAGAATTTTTATTTTTGAAAATGTCAAAAAAAAAACGTGGCTCCATCATGTGCTCCCTGCGCAACTCCAAGCAAGTTGCTTCATCTCCTTGTCGCAGTTCCCTATTAGGAAATACTATCAGCCCCATCTTGCATTCTTCCTACCCTTTGCCTGTCTTGTCTACTTAGCTAAGCTCTTCAGGGCAGGGACTGTCTCACTATGTGGTTACACAACACGAAGGCCTTGCCTCAGTTGGGGCCTGCAAGCATGATGGTAATACAAGCACATGATAATGCAGAGCACATTGGTACGTGCCAGTTCCCACACCCACCTCATGCCACTTAGCTAGTTTCCTGCCACTGGCATGACATCCTCAACGACCCCCCCTGCTTGGTGCAAAGATGGACTCTCTCACAGAGTAAAGGCAGCGGGTGTCCCCAAAAGCTGCACTTCCTGCCAGTCTCTCTGGATCAGTGGCATGACCAGAGGGTATTAGATACATATGTACAAGCAGCTCCTGCTAGGAAGCAGAGTTCACATGGTCACTACTCTGCTCCTGAACAAAAGCAGGAGTCACCAGTGAACCTGCCTTCCACCCAGACTCCTCTCCTCAGCAGATTCCAATGCAGCACATTGCACAGAGGCAAGGACCACATGATCCTCTCAGAGTCTGTTAGCACAGGCAGCTCGCCAAGAGTCCAGCCCATTGGACAGGCAGGGTGAGGTACCAAGTTAAGTAGTTTGGTCACCGACTCAAAGGCACTTTGGTCAAATAAACCCACAGCTTCTCCACATCCCTCCCCAATGCTGCCTTTGCCATCACTACTGACTACTGTCTCTCGGGCTCAAGTTCTGGCTCCCACAACGTTTTCCTAGTGAAGACAAAATCTAAAGCCCTCATGGGCACAGTGGTCACCTCTCCTTAACTCCTGCAATCTGCTCGCAGGTCTCCCTGCTTCTCCCTCCAGATGCTGCTAGTAATCTTCATCATGTCGCCAACCCTGCGTGCGGACTCTACCATTCCCCACAAAGCATAAGCACAGGGTCTTCAAAGCTCTGCTCACCCACAGCCTCATTCCCGCCTACTCCCTCATGGGGACCCAGCCCCCACCCATTTCTTCCTTCCATTCTGACCCCAATGCTGGGATGACAGCCCCCTCCTCTTCACAGCAAAGCTGTCCAACATTGTCCCCTGCAAGATTTCTACCTGTAACTGGTGCATACACCACTGTATCCACAGGAGGGATAGGTACAGTGATAGACATGGCTGCACTCCACATCATTCTCAATCATTACTGCAGGCAGGCCAAATCCACCCCAGTGACCCAAAGAGGACCAGACCAAAAGGAGGACTCCTGTGGGAGTCACCATTGCAAGGCTAGGTACCAGAACAGCAAGCTCGTTGGGGCCGGCATTGTCTCCTGCTCCGCTGGCCCAGTGCTGACACTGAAGCTCAATCAATAGAAGGAATGCCACTGGGACAGAGGGAGGCCTAAAATTGGACCGGCCTGGTTTGATGTAGGAGCACGCACTGCGGAGTCCCTCCGCTCTGCTCTGTTGAGAAAGCCCCGTTCTGAACCGAGTCTTGGAATTGCTGATCCTGTCTGGCTCATCAACAGGCAAGGTGAGCAATGGCCGGAGGCCGAGGCCTGCAGACCTTGTCATTGGTCCGGCAGAGAAGGGGCAATTTTAAACGGCAGTCTGTGATTTGGAGAGGCTGGACATTTTTCAGGCTCTGAAGGAAATTCAAGAAGAGCTTTGGGCCCCATCAGCCTGCTGAGGTGTCTTTAAACTGTTTACTTCCCCAGGGGAACACGGCTCAGAATTAAGCATTTGGAAATAGTCAAAGGTGCCTGTGTTCCCGGTTTGATTTAACAGTCTTTCACACACCACCACTGTACAGAAAACTCACACCACAGGAGAGAGAAGACAGCAGGCCAGGCCCTGTCATTTGCAGTCCCCCAAACAGTTAGCCTTCCCATCCACCCTCAGGCGATGCTCAGTCTGAAAACGCAGCCCCAGACAGTGCACTCCCTGGAACTGCAGAGCAAAGCTTATCAGCTGCACGTTTTTCCATTGCTGGTGAAATCAAACCACCAAGCTACAGTTGTCTACCAGCAGGAGTGTATTTTACATGAACAGAACCACCTAGACATCTGTCTGCTACACCTGTAACCAGGGGTTTGTACCCTATCTCCACCCGCAGTCCTCCCTTTCCCAATGAGTGTAATGTCCTTGATCAACAAGCGAGGGCTTGTCTACACGGGCAAGTTTTGGCCCCAAAACTGCCTTCTGGCGACAAAACAGCAAGAGCGTATACACTACAATGGGACTTTTGTCGCGAAAAACACCCAGTTTTGGTGACAAAAAACATCCACCCCAGGAGACTTTTGTCTTTTCCCCTCCCTTTAATGTCGACAAAGAGCCAGTGTAGACACTGCTGATTGCTTTGACTACAGAACTGGCTTCCGCCAGTATCCCACAAGGCATGCCCGGATTGCTCAGCTCAGTGTTTTGATCTCCTGCAGGCATGCGCCCCTCCCCTTTCAAAGCTCCGGGAAGTATCTGTGTGCGGCTCCCTTTGGGGAGCCAACAAAGAGCAAAACCCTGGAATGCTCCTGTTCTGCCCAGCACTAGGGACACGACTGCTGCTGCAGGGGGAGGGGAACAGTCTGGGGTGCTGCTTTGCCAGTCCTCAGCACGGATGCTGTTCTGGCAGCTGAGGGGGCTGTGGGACAACTCGGAGAGAATCCCAAGATGCGCAGCGATCAGCTCTTCCTTCCCACAACCCTGCACTGTGGGATACATACCCACAGTGCATTGCTCACCCTGTCCATAATGGTGTCCCCAATGTGGACATGATCTGTCAACAGAGGGAGCAAGTGTGAACACCCTTTGGCGATTTTTGTTTTGTCGACTTTTGGGTGTCGACATAAGTTTTGTCAACAAAACTTGGTAGTGTAGACAAGCCCCGAGGCGCTCTCGCAACTTGTTTTGCCAAGAAGGGACCTGTCCTTTGTGGGGTTTCCCCATGAGCCTCTTAGCAGATTCAGATAACAATACAAGCACAGGGCACTACAAGGCTCCATAGTTTCTGCTGGTGTCATCATTATCAGACACTCCTTTCACTCCAGCTGCCATTTTATTATGCAATGCTCGTTCTGCCCTCACACACACTGCTGAAGTGCCCGTCACTGGCGCACCTGGGTGGCAGCTCATGGAATACCCCCCATACCATCAATGTGGGCCCCACCCCTAGCTTAGCTATTTACATTGAGGAGGTGATGAGGGGAGAGTGAGGTAAAGTCCAAGATGGTGAAGGAGGCAGTAAGTTTTGCTGTTTCGTTCAGCATTGCCAGTATGGAAACTACTTCCGGTTGTAATGAGAAGGGAAAATCAAGGGACGGTCTAGGAAATGCTTCCTTCCAGGCACCCTATAAATGTCGCTGTTCCCCCCGTGCCCTAGATCAAAACAAAACCCATGGAACATGACATTTGCTAGCACTGAACATAAGAAAAGCCACACAGGGTCAAACCAAAGATCCATCTAGCCCAGTATCTTGTCTTCTGACAGTGCCTTCAGAGGGAATGAACAGAACAGGGAATATCAAGTGATCCATCCCCGGTCACCTATTCCCAGCTTCTGACAAACAGAGCCTAGGGACACAGCCCCTCAAGCTGCCTTCTGTCACTTCCCATCCCGCCTCCTTCATCTCTTGCCCAATTAGACTGTAGGCTTTTCAGGGCAGAGCTCTTCGGCCAAGCACTTTGCATGTTGCCGATACCACACAAGCAAATCACCACCGTCAGTATAAGTAGTGTTTGCTCCAGAGTTAAAATAGATCAAAACAAGTAGTGCATGTTCTGACATTTACAATTGCCTCACGCTCTGGGGAATCTAGTCATAAGACATATGCACAGAAAGGTAGTTTTAAGGAACTGGGTGACTCAGCTGTTAGATGATCTGATACAACAACATAAGAAGCTGCCAATCACGTAACGCCCAAACAGACTCTGAACAAAGCTGAAAATTCAATCGCTCCATTCAAGACAAGCACCCCATCGCTCACGAGCCCCTTGGGCGAAATCTGGCCCAGGGGAGAGTCAGGAATGGACAGGACAGGGCATTTTGTTTTACACTCACATTCAACCCCATGGAAAAAATCAACTGACTCCCCCCTAGGCCAGGCTGAAAGCCGGGCTGGCTCCGCACAGGGAGGGCAGGGGTCGGTGGGGTAAGGGGCTCCAGCCCCAGGTTGGGGGGGGGGGGGCTGGGA